CATCTGGAGGGCCAAAGGTTACCCACACATAGTCTATAGCGGCTGGTAGTGACTCTGTAAGGTTGGAACATGGGGCTTTCAACTTGCAGAGAATGTGCTCTGCTACTGAGCTACAGTCCTTTCTCCACATGTGTGTTTTCACGCAAAGGCATGGAGGAGCATTTTTTCATTCTCTGTCTCCTGGAAGTCTGATCCACGGAGAGCCATATTGCCAGTGACACCTCCGTAATCAGGCTTCTAGAATTCAGGTGCCACGACTTAAATTTACCACATTGTCTTCCAGGAGCCAACTTGAGACTGAATCAGTGTATGGGCTAAATTACAAACAGATGTCAAGGTAAGCTGCTATAAAATGCGCACATATGCCAGGGCTTTCTTGTTCTTGGAGTGCCACAATAGAGAGAAAATAAGGAGCAACATTTAAAATAGTCAAAGGCTAGTAGAAAAGCAAAGATTTATCTTTGAAATTATATATCTTGCTGATTCACTTTCTTTATTATAATAATTTAAATAGAAAAATGATATCTAGTGGTAAACCTCTCCTGGTATGCCCCACAGAGAAACCTACGGTCTACAAATAATAACACCCTCAAGGTCCCAGGCCTCAGAGAGGTTAGGCTGGCCTCAACTAGAGCCAGGGCCTTCTCGGCTGCAGCTCCAACCTGGTGGAATGCTCTGTCACAAGAGACTAGGGCCCTGCGGGATCTGACATCTTTCCGCAGGGCCTGCAAGACAGAGTTGTTCCGCCAAGCTTTTGGTCAGGGCGCAGCCTGACTCCCTCCTCCGGCAACCTGCACAGAATTTTGTTTAATCGGTTGCCATCAATTTGATTTTAACTAATTTTTATAACGAAATATTTTTAGAATGTGCTATTATTTGATTGTTATTTGACTGTTGTTAGCCGCCCTGAGCCCGGCTCGGCTGGGGAGGGCGGGATATAAATAAAATTTATTATTATTATTATTATTATTATTAAAGTTTACTGTGAAATTCATTAATCATCATTTCTGCAGAGCAGCAGGAACATCTTCCTCTTCAGCATTAGATGATAATTATTCAAGAGTATTGGAGGTGGGCAGAGGAAATTTGGTTGAAGAGGAAAAAAGCCTTGTTTACTTTATCTTCCCATCCCATACAAGTCAATGGGTTGGAGAAATTGAGCAAACTGGACAGCTTCTAGTCTATTTAAAGGAAGCTCTTGTAGAAACTGACTGAATATGCTGGAGCAGAATCAAACCCCATATTTTAAAATGTTATCCCCCCCCCAAAAGCATGAAACCATTTTTTAAATGCCAGTTGTGAGGGACTTTTGTGAGTACTCATAAGAATAGTCCGCTTACTTGGTAGGCGGCATTGCGGCCAGGCATCAGGCCCCGCAGGATCTGGCTGGGAGTGGAAATCAACGCCCTCCTTGTCACTGTTTGGCTGTGTTGCCAGTGCCAGGCGGGGCCCAGGGGCAGCCCTCACTGTCCAATCAGCACCGGTGGGGGGGCGTGGCCATGGGAAATTTAAACCACATCGCGGCCAGGAGACTGTCCTCTTGCGTCCCTTTGCCCGATCTTCTACCCACCCATCTCTTTTTATGCTTTGCCTTGATATGACCTTGCTATGGACAAATGTTGGCTGCCATATTTTGGGACCAGGCAGGATTTTTTCCACTTGGCAAATTGACTCCAGCCATTTGGTTTTCGCCGACCTCGTAGCAATTGTGAGGTTAGCCATTGGGTAAGCTTTGTTTGGGTGGGTGGGGGGGATGTTGTAGCCTCCACCTGCCCCTCCTCATTAAGGGTATCTTGTTAAAGGGATCCGGGAGTGTGGATTCTGTCCAATGCCCAGATCTGGGCTAGGGGTATGGCCCTTGGGGACCCCTCGGGCTGCCCCTATTCAGTGTTGTCTGATTGTTAACCTAAAGCTGTTTTAGCAAAGAGATGCAATATGCAGAGTGGTGATTTATACTAGGAAACTACCAATGGGGAATGAAGAGTAGTTTGCTGGTGGTGGCGGGTAACACAGAGGGATTTCCTTGTGCTCCCACCACTCAAATCTCACCCCCTTCAATTAATTTGTTTCTACAACGATACCCCTATGTTGTGTTCACATGTATTTAAAATTGCCTACTTCTTTAAAGGGCCATTCTACTCATGATACTAAGATTCCCTGTTCTTCCCAAAAGGGACTTAAAGATTTGTCAGACAGCTAAGTCCTCTCAGAGAACACATCATATTAACTTCATTAATTTCCTTCATAAAATGAAAAGGCTTTATGGGATATCTTACTGAGTTTCCTCATTGCTTGTTTGATTTACAGCCTGGCAAAATGTCAGAGACAACAATCTGGCCTTGTATAACAAGGGCTGGGAACATTCTGTTACCTAGTTTCTACCTAGGTTTTCTAAACCCCTGAAAACTATTTCAGTTTAGCACCTGAAACTGCCAAATGTTTTTGGCTAAGGTCCTCAAATTGGCGAACACTAAAACTACAACAAACACAAAAATACAATAAACCAATCCAATAAATATAAAATAGCAGAAATTATAAAATAGCAGAAAGCAGGTGCACCGCGAATCACATGTTATGCATTCATGAGTTGCACGTGTGCTTTCCCCACAAACTCAAATGCCATCCACAAACAGTTGCCCAAACAGTAGACTTTTCCCTAGAAACAGCTACAGATGTGGCAAAATCTCTACAGTTGCTCTCTAGGATAGGGCTAGTTGCTCAACCTTCTGGCTCCTCAACAGGCTGATGTTTTCCAGGGGCGGGGGCAGTAAAGAAGCGCTTGAGAGGCTACAGTTGGCATTCACCTTGCAGCCAGCCATAGTCTTCTTACTGCTACCTGCCTCCTCTCCTGTCATGTTGAGATTCCAAGGGCCTCTTGCTCATCACATTCCTCAGCTGTTTACAGTACCAACTGTACAGCTGGAGAGTGGGGAGGGCATCTGTAGATTGCACGGAAGGTGACTGAGGAGATGGGATGCCATATGTGAGCTGGTGCATCCTAAGCAAAATAACTCTATAGTAATTAAAAGAGAATGCACCACTGAAGTACTGTTTTCTCCAGCTCTTGATCAAACATCTGGCTCAGTATGACACCAAATGCTTTTTATGGGACCAGTGTTAGATTGCTTGGATTTGGTGAGAGACCTTGTATTCATTTGTAAAAGTTAATACCAGTGATATAAAGCCACTGATAATTTGTTATGCCAATGGTGCTTGTCACCTGTGATGTTCGAGTGTCTTTTGATTTAATTTCCGGAAGGGGAGGTGCCAAAGCTGAAGACTGTTTTCTTTGGTGGGCTGAAATTTGCCAGGCATGCAGAGTGATGGAAATGCAAGAGCTGCCAGGATTGGAACCTGAGATAAGAGCTGAGCATATCTCAGAGGAGGGCTCAGAGGAAAACACTGGATGTTTGGGCCACATATATGTAGCCCAGTAGGGCCAGGGTCTGTGTCAAGGAAGCTACAACAGGGATTTTGGGAAATTCAAGCAGGAATGCAGACAGGTAGACAAGGGGATCAGAGGCTCAGGAGCTTGGCAAGCAGGGAGGCTGGAGAGAGGGATATTCTTTTGTAAATACTTAGGCATGTACTCCTTCTAATATGCTATGAACAAACTTTCCTTGATGAGAATATCATCCTTTATTGACAGGGATGGCACAGTTCTGTTTTGAAACTATGACCTCTTAGGGTAACTTTACACATGATGATGCTGTGAAAATAAAAGTAGAGGAAAACCAGGAACAGATTGCACTGTAACTGGAAAGGATGGTAAAAGTACTAAAAGATAGACAATCCAGGGGGAAATGAAAATATATTCTCATGGCACTAAAAATGCTGCAATGTAGGTGCCAGGTGAGTCTCTCTAGGGAGAAAAAGAAGAAGAGTTTGGACTTGATAGCCCACCTTTCATTCCCCTTAAGGAGTCTCAAAGCGGCTAACAATCTCCTTTCCCTTCCTCCCCCACAACAAACACTCTGTGAGGTGTGTGGGGCTGAGAGACTTCAGAGAAGTGTGACTAGCCCAAGGTCACCCAGCAGCTGCATGTGGAGGAGCGGGGATGCGAATCTGGTTCATCAGATTTCGAGTCCACCGCTCTTAACCACTACACCATGCTGGCTCCGTACACCAAGCTGGGAGGGTATTCCACAACTGGGGACCCACTACTAAAAAGGCCCTCCCTTTTATTGTTGTTGTTGTTGTTGTTTAGTCGTTTAGTCGTGTCCAACTCTTCGTGACCCCATGGACCAGAGCACGCCAGGCACTCCTGTCTTTCACTGCCTCCCGCAGTTTGGTCAGACTCATGTTTGTAGCTTCGAGAACACCATCCAACCATCTCTGTCGTCCCCTTCTCCTTGTGCCCTCAATCTTTCCCAACATCAGGGTCTTTTCCAGGGAGTCTTCTCTTCTCATGAGGTGGCCAAAGTATTGGAGCCTCAGCTTCACGATCTGTCCTTGCAGTGAGCACTTAGGGCTGATTTCCTGAAGAATGGAGAGGTTTGATCTTCTTGCAGTCCATGGGACTCTCAAGAGTCTCCTCCAGCACCATAATTCAAAAGCATCAATTCTTCGGCGATCAGCCTTCTTTATGTTCCAGCTCTCACTTCCATACATCACTACTGGGAAAACCATGGCTTTAACTATACGGACCTTTGTTGGCAAGGTGATGTCTCTGCTTTTTAAGATACTGTCTAAGTTTGCCATCGCCTTTCTCCCAAGGAGCAGGCGTCTTTTAATTTCATGACTGCTGTCACCATCTGCAGTAATCACGGAGCCCAAGACCTGCTATACTTCATTTGTATTTTGTTTTGTTTTGTAAGAGAACAATATGTTTGTTACAACTCCAGTATAAAGGGCTGCACATGGAATAGAAACATAATGGGAAAAGATGTGAAAACTGGATGCATCCATCTGCTGTATTAGAGAATTACCATGTTAAAATCATGTGTCTTAATCTCATGCCCGCTTTCCTTCCTTCTTTCTCCTCCTTCTTCTTTGAACAGTTGCACAAGAGAGGACCAATATTGCCTTGCACCTTCGGAGGTTGTCTCTGACATCATTCACAGACATCTTTACCCTGGTGAGTTTCCATAACTTTATAATAGTCAGGGCAGCTAAAGTATTTTTAAAAGCAGAATTTTGTTTACTTCATATTTGTTCTGCAGTAATAACCCACTTAAACTTTTATTGAACAGCTTGGAAAGACCAAAGTTGGAAATTCAGATTGCTGTCTTGAATCTCCTAGTGGTGGTCTGTTCTAGCAGCTTTCAAATGGAAGCCATTTATGTACCTATGTTTTTGATCATTCTTAGAACAAAGCTGTTCTTCATAATGACACCTTTAATCTGAGGTGGTGCTGTCGTTCTTCACATGTGAATACAAATCATTTGCTTAAAATAAGGGAAAAACTTAGGGGGTGGACATTAAACATGTATGATTAGACATCTCCCTTTATAAGTGTTAAAACAAAACTGGGCAAAGCAAAAAGAAGTGGAGCAAAACGGTAGGGAAATAGTCCTGCAATGACTTCAGTATAGTAGACATTTAATAGATTTTTCTTTCCATCTATCACTTCTGTTCTATGAAATCTTCAAAACGTTAATGCTTTGATTTCACCCATTTTCAGAGGCTCTTGAGAGATTCCATGGGTTTTGGTCCCTGATTTATCCTCTTAGCCTCCTTTGAAAATACTAAGGAAATGTTTTTTCCTCTTTTTTTAGCCTTTATGAAACGATTCATTGACCTCTGTCAGTCTTCTGATCTCTTCCAGCCAATAAATCAGTGGAACATACAGAGCCATCGTAAAGCATTAAATCTTTCAAAATGCAGTTTAATGGTGGTGTTTTCCTCCAGTGTACACAGCAGACATCTGTGCTCCCTGTGTTTATATTGCCATCTATCTTTTGGTCAATTTAAAAAACTTCAATGAGTTACAGTGCTCTTGGATCTGAACTCCTCGCTGTGCGTTCATCTTCCTAACACCCTTGAAATGTAAGGATGGGCCATTTTCAGCTTACATCTGGGAATAGAGCCATAGAATGAGGGAATTCAGCCACTAGTCCTAGAGGTGTAGGAAACTGGAAATGAATTTCTGGAGTTCCAGTTGAGTACCTCTTAGTCTTGGGACTGCATTGCTGTATTTGCCTAGAATCTGGAGAATGTATTTGAGTGTGCACACAAATGTGTGTGCAGGCCCATAAATACATGAAATACCATGTAAGAAATGCCTATGTTTCCATCTAACAAGAACACCATATTTATATTTTTCTATGGGACTACAGCATTTAAAAAGAAAATAAATTAAAACCTTAACCTTTTGGTTGTTACCTTTATTTTAAACAAATAAAAAACCCTAAACCCATAGAATTGTAGAGTTGAAAGGGACCCTGAAGGTCATATAATCCAACCCCTTGCAATGCACAAATATCATTTAAAGCATCTATGAGAGATGGCCATCCAACCTCTGCTTAAAAACCTCCAATGAAGGAGACTCCACAACCTCCTGACAGAGTCTGTTCCGCTGTTGAACAGCTCTTACAGTCAGAAAGCTCTTTCTGATGTTTAATGCGAATCTCCTTTCTTGTAACTTGAATCCTGCATTCATTTACCTGGGAGTAAATCCCAATGGATGCAGGGGATCTTAATTTTGAGCATACATTTCACAGTTTATAGACTGTCCCACATTGCAAACTGGGGTTTACCAAAAACCTTCCTTCTTCTCCCCATTTAGTTTAGTTTAACATTAAATTTGAGGAAGAGTTCTTTGTCATACTCGAATGCTAGCTTGCTACTTTGCAACTTTCAATTGTTCCTTATACGGGTGTTGCTATACTGCTGCTGGGTTGTTGCTGTTTTGAGCTGTGTTTTTAATCGGCACACCTGACATTTAAGCTTGGAAACATACAGAGACATGGGAGGCAGTGGGATATCAGAATGTGCTGCACTTGCTGTTTCAATATGTCTTGTCCTGCCATGTTTTCTCTTCACTTTCACAAGCTCAGCTGGCTTCCCAGTGTCCCTGTGCCTAGATAGAATTCATATATGCTTATATATTGTATATATTACAGTAGACATTGTGTGTGTATGTGGGAAAATGTGTGTGCGCGTGTGTGTGCGTATGTATGTAATATGTATTGCTTGTGAACAGTAATGCCGTAACAAAAGTTATTTCTAAAGGTAGTTCGACACTAGGATAACCTTTTGTAAATGTGTCACTATTCCTCTAACACAGCAAATGTCATTTTGTGTGGTATATGGGTGCCCATGGTCATGGAAGTAGTTTTGCCATATAATACGTTTCTTTTTCAGCTGTTAATGGCAGCTCACATATCTAAACATTTAATTTTGCCTGCCTTGTTGATTTATGCATACATAGTTCAAGAAAGTAAAGCAACTTGCATACCAAAATAAGAAGAGTCCTTTTGGAGCAGACCAAAGGCCTACCCGGCCTAGCATCCTGTTCTCACAGTGGCTATGTAGATGACTATGGGAAGCCTACAAGAAGGACTTGAGTGCAACAGAGTTTTTTGCTTATGCTTCCCAGCAACTGATACTCAGAGGAATACCACCTCTTGATATTGGAGGTGGTATACAACCATCAAAACTAGTAGCCATTGAAAGCCTTGTCATCCATGAATCTGGCCAGCCTCCTTTTAAAGCTGTCCGAATTGTCAGCCATTACTACATTTTGTGCTAGCAAATTCTGTAATTTTCCCCTGCGCTTTTATTTAAATGTGAAGAAGTCCGTCCTTTTGTCTGTCCTAATTTTCTAGCTTTCAAGTCCCCCATCGATTTCTCACCCAAGCCGGCTACAGAGCCTGGTTGCTTTCAAGAATTCGAAAACTCACTTGAACCTGAAGAGTGCTAGGGCATGTCTGGCTCGTTTTCCGTGTTTCATTTGAAGTCAGGCTGTTGAGCTTTCTTTGAGTTTGCATTGAGCAGAAGTTAATTGCCTTGATTCAGAAGAAGTTTTAAAAGGTGCCTGCCTTTTGAGGCAGATAAAACAAAGGCGAGAGCCTTTGCCAGAGCTGGCTGGCTCTGCTTTTCCAGCACACAACAACATCCTGTTGCAGGTGCTTCTTTTTACCCCCCCCCCACCTCCATTAATCTCACAGACTCTAGTCCTGTTTTTGCTGAGATATTGATCCTTAGAAAAAACTGTGATCATAAGCCTTTCCCCAGTATAACTTAGGAAGGAAAGGTAACTGACTGACAATAGTCTGTTGTGCATGTAAGTGGTCTTTATTTATATACCACTGTATCATAAAAAATATACTGCAGCAGTTTATTACTATATAAAATCAAACCATAGTATAAAATCATAAAAAGTTAAAAAAGCAAAATAATTAAAAGCAAGCATCAGCAGACCATTGTGGGCGTTGTACTCTTAATTGTCTGTATATGCCTGGCAAAATAGAAAAATTGTCAACAGACATTTAATAGTTGGCATGGAAGGTGCCCACTGAATCTCTTGGCAGAGTGTTCCACAGGACTGGGCTGGTGACACTAAAGGCTCAGTTTCTAGTCATCATCAAATGAGAACAACCAGAGAGCCTCCTGCTTGTGGGATTTAATGGAATTCTCCATGTACACTAATTTATATGTGCATGAGAGTCTGGTCCATGAATACCTGGGCCGTCTTTGACAGTGTACCTTGATTCTTACTGTATCTGCATATCTGGGAGAGGTTCACACACATTCCTTCATCTAATTAGATTTTATTAATATAGACTGGGCTGGCATATTCTTCTAGGATCAGATGAGAGGTTGTATGCACCAGGGATGGGGAAGCTGTCACCGTCCAGGTGCTGGACTACAGTTGCCACCAACCTCAGCCAGCCAATAGTCAAGAGATGACTGGAGTCCAACAACATCTGGTGGGCCATAGGCCGTCCATAGAATAATATCATATAGGACCATCTTTCCATTAAACGACTGGGCGTTTCTTAGCAGGACCCCTAGGGCTGAGAGAACTGCAACTAAGTATTCAAAGTTATTGCTTCCCCACCCCAATCACCACCTGCTTGTTACTACTAATATGGTGGCTGCTCCTTCCTAGCTCCATAATCCTTTCACATTCCCTCCTAAGCACATTCATGGTCTTCAAGATAAATAAGTTCCCAAGATAAAACACAATGGGGAATTCAGGATAGAAGACAAATATCATAGCCCCTGATCTCCCCAGCAGCTGCCCATTAAAAAGACTTGATCCTGGAAGACTTGCTATGGCGTTTCTAACTTTCCCCAAAGCTCTGATGTGCCACTTGTTTGTACCATTGCCAGAGGTAATCTGGACCTCCCAGCAGCAATTATGGGAAGCAAAGGGAGATGTCAGGAAAAATAGTCCTCCCCATAGGCCCCAGGTGTCTCGGTAGCTACACTGGTCTTTCAGACTGCTTCTTGGTCTAAAACCTTCTCCTCTGCTGTCAAGTCCACCATACTAACTTTAGTTAACTATCTGGGAAAAGCTGTTTCATGCCACAGACTAAGAGCCTTTTAGCTTGTGCCAGTGACTTGGGCCTCTGTCTGGTGGAACTTTCCCTCCAACTTTCCCTCCCCCTGCCCACCTCAGATCTGCCCTGGAGGATCGGGGAGACACCCCCCCCCCCGAGCAAATGTGAAGGTGTGTAGGGTGGAGGAGAGTTTTGTTGTATGAGTAGAAGTTGCTCCATTAGTGCAAAATCTTCATTGGATACAACCCTTTGTTGTGATCTGGAGAGAGGAGGGATATGAAAACAACCCCAGTCAGTCAGGTGGACTGAGTACCTTCTGCAGACTCTGCTTCCTCCCCCCCCCCCAGCATCCTATCTCTGGTGTTGACCTGTTGTTGTTACTTAGAACTAAAAATAAGTCTAATGATCAATATATTCATATGCTCTTTGTTTGAAGCTTACATGCAAAACTGAAAGGGAGGATGCTGATAACTAGAATTGTAGGCTGTGCATCCTTCATGTGTGTATTGCACTGCCCACAACACACACATTGATATGCACACCGAGGGAATCATTAATGTCTCTGGCCAAGTGTTATGAGCCGAGTTCCCCACCCCAGACAACTTGTGAGTATGCCTTGAGAATTCAC